AATAATTGTTCCAGGTCTGGATGTTTGTCCTTGTGAAATTAATGTATTTAAACTGCCCCAACGATGTACTTAGGAAAAATTCCTAGTGTGGAGATAACGTTATGATTAAACAAAGACATGCCATCAAAAACATAACTTGTAAAATAACCAAGTCTCGCAATGATGATACGGCCGAGCCGCTGTTTTGGTCGACATGGCGGGGGCACTACCGTGCCCCCAGATATAAAACATATGAGCCGTGCTTGAGTTGAGTAGCTCAAGGGCGTAGTGCTCGCCGTAAACGCGAACAATCCGGGCTCGATCTCCGCTAGTGTTGCCAGGTGTCCCGATTTGCGCGGGACGTCCCGATTTTCAAGGGTCTAGTGACACGTCCCGATTCACCCTTGATCGGGACGCCAAATGTCCCGATTTTCACTAACCTTGTTATTCTATACTTAACTAACTATAAATAACTATTCCATAATTTTGACAGCAAAAATGATTATATCTGTTGGCTACTACCACATTAAAATATTTTTACTACGACATTGTCTCACCAATCGAAAAAAAACCACAAAAGTTTTAAACAGAATTATATTAAAATGAGTGATTTGAAAAATTCAGGGACTGCAAAAAAATAACAAATAGTTCAAAAATGTTTTAATTTGCCTAAAATGAAAAAAATTCAGTTTTTACGATGTTTGGATGAAAACTTATTCGTTTATGAGATCAGACCCGGATAATAATTATAAAGCACAAAAATAAAGTTAAGTTACAGTCACAATTTCTCGCATTACTCGCATACTGTGATATTTACAGTTAGCGTTGATCGTCTGAGCTACCACGGCTCTCAATAAAGCACAAAAGGCTACAAAGAAACTTATATTTTGTAGTCATTCTAGTTGTCCGGATATGAAAACCAAATCCTCGATTATTTTTACCTTCCGTCCCGAAATTTTACTTGCTAGACCTGGCAACACTAATATCGCCGACACTAATGAAATTGTTACTTTGATGAATGATGTTTACATTATGAAACAGAATAAAAGTTTATCAATTGATATATATTTTATACAATACATATTTTTCAATTAGAACATATACATATTATAATATACTCAATAGGGTGAAAATGTAAAGCCGACTTCAATTTACTAAAAGAATAAAACAATTTTCACATATTAGCCTTCGATTTCTATACAATATATATAAGCCATTATATGGAAATTATTTTTTTATTATTTTAGTTCCAACAGTATCAAAAGACAGGTATATAATCAAAGATCAAAGTGATTCGTAGTCGTCGTTAGGCTATTATAGCCTCACGCTCGCACTGACATGCACACAGAGATAACATTGTAGTGTGCGTCAATATTACGCCGTTCCAAAGCGATCGCGTAGATTTCGACTTGGACATATTTGAATATGCGCTCTTAAGCATTGATTTATATAACACTAGATCAGTAATAACCGCGCCAAAGCGTTGCCACTGCACATATGGCCACAGCCATATGCCTAGCTAACGTGAGTTCATTGTTCAATGTGACGCCGACAGAGTTGAGCCGCGACAAAAATGGGTAAATGCGTAGTGAAAGAATGCTATTCAAGGTCACAAAAATGTAATAAATCAAGCGGAATTACTTTCAACACATAATTTTTAGTTCTTGTTTTCATATAAACGTAAAAACCTCAAATAATTAAATAAAATTATCGAATATTGCCATTTAGGTTCAATGTTGCCACTTTTCCGCATTTGTGATTATACTACATTAATGGTAAACACTATAATTAATGGAGTAAGTTAATTTGTTACCTCTGATTTTAAATATTTTGGAAATTATAGTAAGAACTACGTTTTAACTTTCATACAAAATAATTAATTATTCTTATTTTAGTTTATTCATGAATTATCTATTAAATATATTTTATTACCTATTTTATATTAATAAATTAATATTATTTATAATTTCATATAAATTTTATATTAAGTAATTATATTTTATTACCTATTTTATATTGTTTGATTTATTAGTACCATAAAAATACGTTTTATTTCATCATTATGTTTACTTACATTCATCTGATAAGCTTTGTATCCTTTTTTCTAAGGGGACGTAATAAAGATTTTAAAATAAAATATACTTTTTTAATATAAAAACAATTAACTGCAGCTTAAAAAAACTCATTTTTATTGCGTACTTTAGGTAAAATTTCATATAGTAAGCCACACCAACCCGCCATTGCATGTTTGTGTGTCTATCTTTATCTAATCTTAGCGACGATATTGTTTTCGCAACTTGTGTAAGTGAGATAGATATATGTTTACTTAAAATTGTTATTAGTTTCAAAGCTACGTCGTCGCGTTTGGATAGTGGTTACACTTTTTTCGACTCGCGGTAATGTGGTTTGCTCCTCTAGTGTTGTATAACTCAATGCTCTTAAGTATCTTTTCTGCTTCCTTATTTGGTTTTTAGTTATATATTTTTTTATCAGCTGCAATTGTAGTCATCTCCTCATCGTCCAAAAACTCCAAAATTAGTTGCTCTTTCAAGTTTTCATTTTTAGCTGTCTTATTTTCTTTTTTATCTCTTACTGTAAATATTTTTGTTTGTGTCAAGAGTTTATATTTTTAAACTTTCCTTTTTCGTCATAACTACATTAGAGAATTCTTTCTTATCCTTTTTCCTCAAGCACTTATACCCTTCTCCAACACTTCTTGAAAGTATTTCACCAAACATTAGTCGCTCTTTAATTTCTTCACGCTTTTGTGTATTAACATTTTCTACTAGTTGTTCTACTTTTTCTTCAGTCGATATATTTTCATTTTTCTTCCTATTTTCATTATTATATACAACATTTTTCTAATACCATCTTTCTGTTTCTTCGTTTTTTTCTATTTCTTGTTTCAAAATGCCTATTTCTTTTTTATGCAGGTAGCGACGAACCTTTCTCTGAAGAGTATTTTCTTTAGGCACCCTTGACAAGAATAACTATTACCGTAATCCAAACGATTTAGATATGAATTAGGTATGAGGCTTAGAGCTGATTGAGTGAGAGGATCTTGTTCAGCTGGATGTACTTCATTGTCACTATTTGTTGGAAAATTATCTATGCTTTCTCTTTCTTTTTTCTTTCATAATGACGTTTTGAATTAACTCTTCACTTCTTCCTCTGAACTCTCAATTGTCTAGGTGTCATATCTTTTGCGCTACTTATTTTTTCTGTTCTTTTCTTTTAAGGTATCTTGCTCTTTCTTTTGCCTTCAGATCTGCATACTTTCAGGATCTTCCTTAATTTCTGCATACTTTCTTTGTTTTTGTAATCGATCGCACTCTCGTTTCTGCTCTAATGTTTGTCTGGATTTCTTTGGCATTATTAGTTCTTAATAATCTGTAACAACACATTATATGATATTGCTCGTATTCATCATATCAAGCTCATCCTTAATAACTAAAGTAATAAAAAGTACACTCACAAGGTTAGCTTGTGAGTTCTATTTGTAAACAAACTTAAAGCTACATCAAGAAAGAAAGTAAAAATTGTTTCTTTATTTTACTATGAATTAAACTATTATTATAACTGAATCGTAGTAGTATTATTGTGGAAAAAAATCTCAACTACGGGTTGGACTAGAACTCGCGACCACACGGTTTGTAATGTAATAATGCACTGTAATAAATAATAATAGATTGACGTAAAATTGATTCTAATTGTTATCGTTTTGACCTCATCACCATCGCTAAAAAAACGACGGTAAACGAAGGTAGTGAGGACGTAGGTAATGAGGTTTTTATTCTTATCTTATTGTTTCGTAAAAAATATCAAAATTACGAATCTCGTGCTTACTTTAAATTACGGCGGTAATCACTAGAATTGATAATTAACTACATATTAAACAAAATCATTAATACTCAATAATATGGACGAGAGGAAAGAAGACGATTCCAGAATAATCACCTCCCGCGAAACTTTACACGTAAATATTTTTTTTCCAAGAACAGGCGTGAACCTTCTACGACGTTTGTTGTTGATAGTATGTGGGGGCATGGTGGTATAGTGACATTCACGCCAATACGCAGACTATAATTTAGATTTTCACTAAAACCGATGGTAATCAGAAATTTTTTTTTGATAAACATTTATGAAATAAAATTTCTTTATATTGTGGGGTTATCGTTATTTATTTTAAGTGTAAACGTTGTGTTTTTTAATAAAGTTTCATAATATGGTTATTTTTTATATTTAATGTTTATATTTTTGGTTAAAAATACAATTTTTTTAGGAGAGTAGTAAATGGACACCGAAGATAATGAGAATTACTGAAGTTTTTTTATTTATCATTAATTTATTACGTTATTTTTATCTGTAAATATTACATGCATGTAAGCATTACCACTTTACATTTAATTTCCTTTATAAGAAATGTAGATATTTAATAAAAAAAATGAAGACTTTTCTCCTGGACGTGTAATGTGCACGAAAAATGAGAAACACCCGTATGTATATGTATTTTTTTTTTAACAAGTATGGTTATTCTTAAAAATGTACACTTTGAGTGAATGGTTGATTTATTTATTTTTTAATGGAATATTAGCACCGATAACAGCGCGGGCTCAATATCGAATAAATACTATTCAGGGCTCCGCTGAAAATCAGCGCTGCTGCAGTACGTGTGGTAGCATATGCTGAGTCGGAATCCTTTTTGGCATCACATCACTCACTCTTGCTGAGACTTATTTTTATTATGTTTACCATCTTGTACCTTGTGTGTTTTTTATGTTTTTATTTACTTTTAAATGTATATTTTGTGAGTGTATTTGATGCAAATAAAACTTATGTCTATGTCTAAAAAAATACTGAAAGGCTAAAAGAAAAATTAGAAAATTTTATAGAAAACACAAAGGATTTATATATTAAAACCAAATGCAACAAATTTGAAGAACTATTAATTTTTTTATTTTTTTTTCTAGAGATTGAGGGCGACGGCAGGGTGCTCTCCTTCCTGTGAGAGGTTGTTCTGGCTATTGATGGTTGGTCATATGAACACGGGTCCTCTTTTCTCCTCGGTTGAGTGGGGGGTTGGACCACTGGAGGGAGCGGATCCTGCGGCTGGGGTGGGGTTGGGCCGTGAGCCCTAGCATTCGGGCCTTTTGGAGAGTCTCCACCCTGAGGCTGAGGTTGTTAGTTATTTGTCTGTCCTTGTCCAAGCTTTCTGTTGTCGAGGTCATCATGGCCATCATTTTCGTTTGATTCTCTCGCACCTCGAGAAGCATGGAATATATGATGGATGCATCCGGGCGGTCTTCACTGTCTCCGGGCGGTGCTGATGGAGAGGATCCATGAGGTGGCGGCTGTGGCTTGTCTTGTATGGACTCCTCATCATCGGTGTCCTCCTCGCTGATGGTCTTTTCCGGCTTTCGTCGTGGTTTGGATCTCTTTGGGGCGGATGAACCTTCTTCTGACGATCTTCGGGTGCGCCCTCGGGTCTTGACACCTGATGCTTCGGTGATAGGAGCTGTCACGCTTTGATGTATAACCTCTGGGCTGTCTGACCCCCTTGAGTTTCTCCATTGCTGCTCCGAAATAGTCGTCTAACTCTATAGTATACGAACTCATGTTTCACCTGATGTAGGTCCTGAGAAAAATGGGATTCCGGTTCCGGTAAAAGTATCGTAAAGACGTGCGTTATTGGCCTCCGTGATTAATATTTATTAACAGTGTAAATAGTGTTAAATCAAAGACGTCTAGACATAACTTTATCAAAATAAGTAAAAGAAGTGAAAACAGTGAAATATATATATTTCGTGACAAAAGACTTTTTTTTAACATGGGGAAATGCCTACGCATACCCGCCTCGCGGGGGCAAGGACGGGTTATGTCGGACTCGCACCGACTAAAACCCCATGGTGTTCCACCTTCGTCGCATATTGGCAGGGCTACGGGAACGCTTTCGCACACTTCCGCGGCCCTACCAGCGACTGCCGCCCCATGGCAGCACCTCATCGGGAGAGGAATATTCCTCCCCGTTCTCCTTCAGAACATATGGTACGCCTTACTCCACGGCCTCCAATTGCATCTGCGCAACAGACGCCCCCGCGTCCAATGCGCGAAGGCCATGGGGCCAGGAAAAACGAGCACTTAGAAGTACTAGCCTTCCCGACCCCAGCGGCGGATCTGGTCTATGGCTCCGCCGCCAACCAAGATTCGGCTGCGGAGGATAGGGAGAGCGGCACCTCGCAATACCGACAATCCTCTCCCTCCCGCAGCCCCATCACCACCGCATCAACGGTGCGGCCCCGTTTTAGTCGCGGAGGATAGGACGAGTGGCGCATCGCCATACCAACACTCCTCTTCCTCCGCGACTCCACCTCGGCTGCAGCGGTAGAGGGTGCGGAGTCCCCACTCGCTGCAGTCCACCAGCACACATCCGAAGTGGGCTCCCCAAGCCCACTCGGAGTGGCCACCTCAGGCCGGCCCTTCACCTCGGGCCAGCCACGTGGGTTCCTCTTTGTTCACCGTGGGAGACCAAGCCACGGTTACTAAGCACCCCCGCCACGACAAGGCGGGAACCCGTTCGGGGGGGGGTGACAAAAGACTGCAATATAACCTAAAAATGTTGTTCTTGTTCATCATCATAGTCATAGACTATAGAGCTCAACTGAAGCAGTTATACCAACACAACCAACAACGACCACAGAGTATATATATAATCTTGTCCTAGAAACTACCATTAGTAAGTGTTGCCATAACAAAAGTAAAATTATCAACCAAATGGAAAAAAGTATGAATTTGTTACTGTCAAAACTGGAAGAGAAGTTAAATCAACAAAATTTAATCATAACAACTGCAGTGACGAAAAATGTAATGGAAGCATTAGACGAAAAACTGAAATCAATAATGATAGAAAATAACAACCTTAAAACAAAAATATCAGAACTGGAACGAAAACTTAATGGCATAGAAAAAGAGAAACGTAAGAATAACTTAGTCTTTTTTGGAGTTGAATAAATAGGGAAAACAGAAATCGAACTAGTAGATTACATCAAGGAAATCATAATAGAGACAGGAACATATTTAGATAGCCACGAAATTAACAACATTTACAGGATCGGGCAGAGGACGAATAATAAAAACCGCCCAGTCGTTGTCTCCATCACATCATTATGAAAAAAACACATAATACTGAAAAATAAGTCTAAGCTTCCATCAGGTATATACGTAAATGAAGACTTCCCTAAAGAGGTACTAGAAAAGAGAAAGCAGCTACAATCGCAGGTTGTGGAAGAAAAGAAGAAAGGAAATATAGCTTTCTTAAAATACGACAAAATAATAGTGAAAAAAACAATAGACAAAAACCGAGAAAAGAGGAAGAGAGAAAAATCTGATTCACCTAACGTATCAACACAGAAGAAAATTAACACAGTGAATAATTTAATATATCCATCAACCAAAACCACCGAACAAGAAATTATAAGACCCAATATATTGAATTATGTTGAGAGAGGAAGGTCAGCTTCACTGTCACACACTCCAAAAAACTGATAACTGCCATCGACACCCGGAATCAAAACAAAAGGACTACCATAACATTATCAAAACCAAATTTTGTGAAATGCACCCCAAGCCGGCCGGTCACCGTGGGGGAAGAAGACCACTACCCTTCAAATGACCCACTCAAACTTGAAGCACAGGTGCACTCTAAAACACCGCGTCAAAATAACAATATAACTAATGACAATATAATTAATATAGCAACATACAATACCCTCTCTCTAAGAACCAATGAAAGCCTAGTTGAGCTGATACTAGCATTGGAACACATTAACTGGTCGATAGTAGGACTGAGTGAAGTTCGACGCCTGGGTGAGAATATAGAGGATTATGGCGACTTTATTTTATATTCTAAAGGAGATACACCAGGTCAATCTGGAACAGGATTTTTGGACTCTCCAACTGAACAGTCCAGTAGTGTTGAAATTGACTCGTTCTACTCTATGTTAACAGAAGCAATAAAAAATTATACATACAATAATTGGATGGTTATGGGCGATTTCAACGCAAGAACGGGAAACAGAGGCTATGGAGAAGAGACGGCATTAGGTCCACATTGTTCAGGAAAGAGAACAAGGAATGGCGAGAAACTCATACAAATGGCATATGAAAACAACCTGAAAGTACTTAACAGCCTATACAAACAAAGAGATAATAATAGATGGACTCGGAAATCTCCAGATTGCCGATATAGAAATGAGATAGATTATATACTAACTAATAAAAGTTATGATTTCACTGATTGTAGAGTCATAAATAACCTAAACTTCAACAGCAACCATAGAATGGTTAGAGCCAAGCTTCGTCTCCAGATGTTTAAGAGAAACAGACCTTTTAAGGTAAAGCAAAGCAACATTACAATTCTAGAAAATACTGGAAGGCTAAAAGAAAAATTGGAAAATTTTATAGAAAACACAAAGGATTTAGATATTAAAACCAAATACAACACATTCGAAGAACTATTAAATACAAGAGTGAAGAGTAACGCTAGTAATAGAAAAGAAGGGATAAAATGGCTAACAAATGAAACCAAAGAATTGTTAAGAAACAGAGCCATACTAACATCGATGGCCCAAAAAACAAAAGAATCAAGGAAAGATATAGCTGACTTAAGTAAGAAAATCAAATCTAACATGAGAAAAGACACCAAAAACACAGGTTAGAACTAATAGAAAGATGTATTCAAGAGACCGGAGGCACCAAAAAAGCATTCAAAAAATTGAAGGAAAAAATAGAGTGGATACCCAGTATCACAGATAGAAACCGCAATTGCAAAACCAGACGCCCCGAAATTATCTCTATAGCCACAAACTTTTTCCGAGAGATGTATGCAAATACCAGCAACAGTCAAACAACAGACATAGCGGGCGGAGAAGAAGTACTTGATACAATACCTGCAGAAGTGGAAAAAGCTGTAAAAACTCAAAAGAAAGATAAAGCTCCCGGTTCAGATGGAATCAGTAACGAATTTCTTATCGAAAATAAAGATCACCTTTTACCAATCCTGACATACCTATTCAACGAAGTACTGCAGAGTGAGATAATACCTGATCAGTGGAAAATATCAAACATAATACCACTACACAAGAAAGGAGATAAGAATAATATAAATAATTATAGGCCTATTAGCTTAATGTCGAACATCTACAAAGTTTTTGCCAAGGTAATTCTTAACAGAATATCCAAAACGCTAGAGGATAATCAACCGAGAGAACAAGCGGGATTTAGAAGTGGTTACTCGACATTAGACCATATACATGTGGTAAAACAACTATTTGAAAAAGGTAAGGAATTTAATATAACCTTCTACTGCGGTTTTGTTGATTACAGTAAGGCCTTTGACTCACTTGAACATGAAGAGATCTGGCAAGCGCTTAAAAACCAGGGTATTGAAAATAAATACATAAGAATAATAAAAAACATATATAAAAACAGCAAAGCTAGAATCCAACTAGAAAGAGAAGGCATGGAAATAAAAATAGGAAGAGGTGTACGCCAAGGCGACCCCATGTCACCCAAACTTTTAACAGCTGTTCTGGAGGAGGTTTTCCGTCACCTGAACTGGGAGAAATGCGGACTATCAATAAACGGAGAATATCTGTCGCACTTAAGATTTGCAGACGATCTGATAATCTTCTCACCATCGGCAGAGGGACTACAGGCAATGCTAAATGACCTAGACATTGTAAGTCGTAGAGTAGGATTAGTCATGAATGAACAAAAAACAAAAGTCATGACAAATGGGAGGAAAGAACCTATATGATTGTGTTAACAACAAAATTGATTATGAAAATGATATCTGGGTCAAGTAATCTCGCCAACAGATGCAACTTCAAAAGAAATTGATAGACGCATTGGAAACGCATGGAAACAATATTGGAGTCTGAAAGAGATTATGAAAAACAGAGAAATAAGTATGACCATCAAGCGGAAACTGTTTGACACTTGTATACTGCCTGTATTGACTTATGGTTGCCAAACCTGAGCACTTACTAAATCTCTCAACAGAAAACTTGCAGTGTGCTAAAATGCTATGGAAAGGAGTATGATGGGCAAAAAACTGAAAGATAAAATAAGAACTACAACCATAAAGAAACACACCGGAACAAGGGACATTACGGTAACCATAAGAAAACTAAAATGGAAATGGACAATTAGGGGCAAAGAAAAATGGTCAAAAACAATAATGTTCTGGTTCACAAGAAACAGGAGAAGGAAACGAGGAAGACCATCCATAAGATGGATCGATGAAATAAAGGCTGTTGCAGGTGGCACATGGACAAGAGTGGCTGATGACAGAGAAAAATGGTCACAGTTGGAGGAGGCCTTTGTCAAAAGAGGCACACAGACAGGGATGTTGAAGCAAAATTAGTCTATAAAAAGAATCTGCTGCTGCTTACGCATACACTTGGGCACTATAATCCTGTCCAGCGCCGATGGCTAGTCTCCGTTGATGCAGGCTGCCGTGACAGAAATTCGGTCTGGAGAACACTATTATTTATTTATTTATTTAATTATATTTGTTCACGCCGTTTACACATCTGAACTCTATTATAAAAATAAGTTATAGTTTATTTTATCATTATATTACTAAGTCACACGTGCAAATAAGAGTTAGTTGGATTTATAATTGTTAAAGATACTTTCACCATATTAATATCAAACTCGAAGATCAGTTTGGATTGCATAGGTAAACATTGTGAATTATTCTGCCAATAGCAATCCATTACGTTTCAATATTTCATCATTGTAACAGCCAATGGACATACAAATTGTACCTTTACCTTTCGACCCTCGCCATTCCGCCTGTGGCATCGCTTTCGAGCGGTCGCATCCAGGTAGTCTGCGCTTTCGTCCCTGTACGGTAGTGCTCTCTCGCTCTCGCGCCTCCGCTGTCCTGCTCGCGCTGTACAGCGTCGACGCATTGCTCACTCCGCCGGTGGCATCGTTCTCGAACGGTCGCCTCCAGATGGTCCGCGCTCTCGTACCTGTACGGTAGTGCTGTCTCGCTCTCGCGCCTCCGCTATCTTGCTCACGCTGAACAGCGTCGAGGCTGGTGAGTCACTTTCACGCTAACAGTTCTTGCCCTCCTGTCTTCGGGCAGGGAGGCTTGACTGATCTCCGCTTTTTCATTTTTTTTTTGTTATACGTATATTGTCTCGTAGCACATCTCGCGTTCAAGTCCCTGTTCTACGGAGAACAGGGACCCGTCGCAATCGTTACCGAGCTTAGCTCTACTGACCCAAAATGGCCACATATAGCCTATCTGAGTCCCTCGCCGCCCTCATAAACCAATATGGTTTAAATAACAATGAGACGGTCCTCGCCGCCATCGCCACCATCGCCGCCCAGGCTCCCCCCCCTGCCCCTCAGGCACACCATCCGCCGCCCGTAATCGCGACATACCTCGAAACGAGGAACTCTTTTGCCCCCCCTAGAGTCTTTTTCCCCCCTAGAGATGGAGTACGCATGCTCCGAGTCCTCTGCGCCGGCCTCCCGGAAGAGGCCCGCCACCACTTCAGGCACCGGCTCATCGGAGTCCTATGACTCCGTCGGAACCGGGGAGTCTACATTCACCACGGTGAATTCCAAGCGCAATGGTAAGCGCGCCGCGTTAAAACGCAACCCTCTTATCTCAGCGGCTCCTGCCGCTCCTACAACCTCCGCAGCCCCCGCTGCTACCTCTGCCCCCGCAGCCCCGCCGCTGCCGCCGTCCCACTTATGTCACTAGACATCCCCACACCGTCCAAACCAGCCTCTCGTTGTGCTCCAGTCCTTGCCAAGAAGCAAGTCCCACCCCCCTCTCTTCCTAAGAGACAAGACAGTTTTTTTCCCCAATTTACCCAACTGTCGAAAACCTGCTACGACGCAGGAATCAAATATGACCATGCCATCAACCTTGGCGAATCTATCAAAATCGTTCCTAACTCAATCGAAGACTTCCGAAAACTCACCAGGCTTTTCACAGCCGAACGAGTATCTTACCACACCTACGCTCTTCCGGAAGAGCGAAAAGTCAGGGCCGTCATCCGAGGCGTCCCCTTTGAATTCACCAACGAGGAAATCCTTGAGGACCTTAAGTCCCAAGGTTTCCCCGTAGAAGCCGTGCACAAAATGCACAGTAGAACGGGCAAGAGGTTCAACCTAGCCCTTGTCATCCTAACCAACGTGCCGGAGGCAAAAACCATCTTCCGGCAGGTACGCACAGTGTGTGGCCTGTCGAGAGTGAAGGTTAAGCCCCCACATAGGCGCGGATTCCCAGCGCAGTGCCACCGCTGCCAACTATATGGTCATGCGGCGGCCAACTGCTGCCCACCCAGGCGGCGAACCCCACAACACTAAAGAGTGCCCCCGGCCCAAAGACGCCGAATCCCCGCCCGCATGTGTCCTGTGCAAACAGACAGGCCACCCGGCTAACTACAGGGGTTGCCCCTGCGCACCTCAACCTCGCCACAGTAGGCAAGCTCCACCGCCGGTCAATGACCTCTCATTCCCGGCCCTCCACCAACGGCCCTGTCAGGGCCTTTCTCAGCCCATCCAGGGCTTCTCTCGGCCCCCTCAGGGTCCCCCTAGGCCCCCCTCAGGGCATAATTCGGCCCCCCTCCGGGCTTCTCCAAGCCTATGCAGCCTCCAGTCTTTCCCTGGGGCCCCAAAAAGGCAGACCCACCGCGGACAACCTCCTACCCCCATGAATCAGAACCCACAGCTGATGACTATAATACACTGTATTCCGCTATTAGGAATATTGACATTAGGGAAATCAATGCAGTAGCACGCAAACTGCGCGCTGCGAAGTCCCCTCAAGAACGTCTCCTCGCTCTTTCAGAGCATAATAATCTTCTGTTAGCGTTGCTGTCATTGCAGTTAAGTTAACTTAATTAACTTAACTGCAATGACAGAGCATTTTGCTCTACCAAAATCTCACGGTCGTATCAAACCTAAGGGTTTATCGCTTGTATCCTTTAATATTCGCGGTTTGCGAAATAACCTCCCAGAGCTTAAGCTCTTTCTTCGGAATCGTGAAGCCGATTTCCTCCTCCTACAGGAAACTAATCTCAAAACTAAGGACACTAAAGGCCTTTCTATTAAAAACTTATCTCTTCTTCGTAACGACAGACCCGACCGCCGAGGCGGCGGAACGGCCATCTATTACAAGAAGACACTTCACTGCTCGCCCATTTCTACTCCGCAGCTTACCAACATGGAAGCCACGGTATGCAGGCTAGCTATGACTGGACATCAGTCCATCCTCATAGCCTCCTGTTACATCCCTTCAGGAACCCATCCCCTCAAAAAAGATTTTGAAGCCATTTTATCTTTAGGCAATTTAGTCATTATGTTTGGAGATTTTAACTCCAAGCATACTGAATGGACATGCCGTACTACGTCTCCTAGTGGCAAGATACTGCTCGATATCACGCAGTCTCTTGATATTACCGTCCATAGTCCTCTCGGTGTTACTCACTTTCCCGATAACACCGATCACGCACCCGATGTACTAGATTTTGCGTTACTCCAAGGAGTTTCTCTCAACCTCAGAGCAATCGAGACACTAGACGAACTAGGATCCGATCACCGACCGGTCTCCCTCATTCTTGGCCATCAGCCACCTCCCCCAACACACACGAAAATCTTCACTAATTGTAAGGGATTCACGGAGTCC